ATTCAAATTTGTAGAGAAAAGAGAGAGAGAGAGAGAGAGAGAGAGAATATATTATTTTCTTGTTGTCCAAAATTCAAGAATTAGTTTTTAGATTAATTGAAAAAATGTGCTCACACACCGGTGTAGTCTTTGCATTGGATAATACCATAGAGATTTGAAGGTTTGAAGTACCAAGATTCTTGTAATTAAACGCGGATCAGAGTTAATTCAAATTTGATCATTGAACTTAGGTAAAAGGTTCGAATCCTTTAATTTTGTTATAACATACACGTGAACATCTAGATAATCTTGCTTATTGAATTAAAGAAAATTTTAATTTCTGATTAATTCCGCTTCCACATTTCAACAAATTGTTCGCCAGATCTCTCGCTCTTCAAGCTAAATGGATGTTCCAGCCTCAGCCTTCCCCCTTCCTCCACCAAAGTTGTCAATTGGACTTCAAATAAATCAGTTCTGAATATTTATGAAGCTTGAGATATTCCTTGAGGACATTGCCCTCTTCGACCATGAACAATGAACGACGTAAATGCCAAACACACAAACACTTAATACACATAAAATCATATTTTTAATCTAAAATATAAATTAGTGCCTAGAGCGATCAGTTTGCACGTGCTAAATTCATATCCAATGCGTGTAACATACACTTCAATTTTATTGGTTTATACTGAAATATCTTTTCCAAACGATTACAAAGATACATGTCTAATAACGGGATATAATTTTTCAAATCTTACACCAGTTTTTCAATATGGTACCCAAATTTCTAATGTGGGGGAAAATCTTATCATCTGATCAGTAAAATAAACTTCATATACTTATGCACCAGTGGATTACTTAAATAATGTAGGGTGTGATTTTGAAGGCTTAGCTGGTGCGCCTTTGTAAACGCGTGATTCTAAACCCCACTTTTCTCGAAAGGAGCAGAAAGTCGTATCTTGATTTTGAGCCTTCCTGTGACTTCCTGCAGCTGTACGAGGAAAGAAAAAAAGTATCTAGCGGATAATGTTATAAATACCATGTTAAAAAAAAAAAAAAAGGTTAAACCCTAACCTTAAGGGTCCCCCACCACTCCTGCCTTGGAGTATCGTGAGGGAGGTAAATCGCAGGTTATGCCTCTAAGGGTACAGAGTGGAAGGCTGCTTGTACACTTGCACTTATCCAAGAGCCAAATCCATATTTCAGGATTCGAACCCTTGACGCAGCAGCTTCAAGCAAAGCTAGATTTCTCCACCCTCCCCTTTTACCACTTGGAGATGTACATCTGGTGGGTGTTATGTAAGTAAAGACTTGGTAAGCAAGGTTATCTTTTGTCGTTCGAACTGCAATAATCCCATGCGTGTGCAATATTGTTACACTAGAATACTACTTCGAAATTTATATCCCAAAGACACTTTTTTTTTTTTTTTTTTTCTTTTGAAGCACAATGATAGCTTAATTGTAGGCTTCAATTAAAAATTAACTCACTAGCTAGCATAACCCTTCTACTATAAGAAAATAACAAGTAAATAGAGTTTGAATTAGAATTAAATATATATTTTTAGTTAATTATATTATTTATATGTGTAATATCTCATATCACGCCTCCACAAAAATTTGTCTTAGTATTTTCAAATAAAGCATTTTCTCGTTTCAAGTCATGTCGTGTTGCATTTGTTGTTTCCGTTACAAATATCTGACTCTTCAAGCCAAATGGCTTTTCCTCTCCCTCCACCTTCAACCAAAGGTGTCCATTGGGCTTCAATTAAATCAGTTTTGTAAATTTCAGAAAGTAGAGAAATTCCTTGAGGACATTGTATTTTTCCATCGTGAACATTGAACGATGTAAATGCCAAAAAAAAAAAAAAAAAAAAAAAAAAAAAAAAAAAACCTTAATACAAGCAATTAAAATCTATTCAAATTATATTAAGGAAACCAATGCTCATTCTCAAAATAGGAATATGGATAGCCATTAGGTGGTGCAGTTCACGTGCTGGACTAGTATGAAATGCATGCAACTTACAATTCAGTATTAGTGGTTTATACTAGAAATTCTTTCCAATTGATTATAATGTTATCATGAAAAAGAAAAATTTATATTTCATTTGCTTATTCACTTGGGGATTACTTAATTTTATTCAATCAGCTCTAAGGAAGGGTAAGTAAATCGCAATAAATTGAAGGAGAAGTTTGTACCATTCTGGAATGACAGATGACATATATACTAAATAGAGTTAGCCAGACTTCAATCCCATGAGACTTGGAGAGGAGTAGAAGTCATTAGATATCAAACAAAATTATCTTGCACAGTCCACATCTCTTGTAGCTCTCAATGTAGATGCCATAGTTAGTGAATGACTAGCAACACAAGATATGATGGTTTCCACTTGCCCTTCGAACCTAGACATGCTTAACTGGGGAAGTGGTGGCGAGTTTCACTCGTTAAATTGGATACAAATAAAATGTCATCCGGCGTGGAATGCCCGTTAGAGTTTTGCTTGTCCAAGCTACATGGAATCGATTACTTTATATTTTGTGATCATACTATTGGATACTTGTGTGGCACTAGTTACTAGATTATTTGCTAATGTTTAGACTATTGACGACTTGACTGCACTATATCATGCACTGTACGTGGAAAATTTACATAGCTTATATTGATTTTTTTTTCTTTTCCCAAAATTATCACAAAGATACTTATATCAAATTAATGTTATTCAAATTTTGAAATCAAATTGCTATAAGCTAATATCCGTTTTCACTAAAATAAATTCCATTAACTTCATGTCATTGGCTAGTAAATTGCTTAAATGCATTTCATATGGTTCAGAAGACTATGTGTCATGATTAATTGGATTACACGGTATATATAACCTGGTTTATTTTGGTATAAAAGTCTATGAATAAATTTTAGCTCAATACTATGCAAATCCAACCATCTGATCCACCCATGAACCCAGGGTCCAGATGAATTTCAAATGCATTAAATGCCCTTTACTTCATGAGTAAATATTTAGGTAACTGAAATAGAGACTCTAAAGATTTACAACATTACATTCCCACGTTTGTACCTCGTTCTTTCTCCTGCTTCCTGTATTCCCATGGAACCAAAATGTCGAAATGATCATTCCACACCTCCACCGATTGCCTTGTTCAACAGCAACATGAAACTCAAACTAGAAGATGATTTGTCCATGCAGATGAATTTTTCATCAAAGGGTTACCTTCAAGAGTCCCAGTATTTTGATCACTTCTCCTTAACAGGATCATCATTCAATCCAAACCTCGAAACCCAAGCAAATGGTTTTGATCCATTTGACTTCATCTTTCATGTTTCTCCTTCGACAGACTTCGATTCCTACAATTTCAAGCCGTTTGAAGAAAATGGTGATGGACTCTTGAGTATCCAGGAGAGGAAATATCCATTAAACGGAATGGAAAATTCTGATCATAACATTTTATCCTTGAACTGCCATGATTCTGACCTCCTAAACTTTGTTGTTCCAGATGAGAGTTCATCTGTAACACCTGGTAATGGCAATAAAAATAGCAGCTCGAAGAAGTGGCAAAATAATAGCAATGACAGTTATACCACCACCATTGAGGTTGAATTAGCATCTGCTAAAAGCTCCGGTCAAGCATGGAAGAAGTCCAAATCAGCCAAGGGGTTGTGGACTAGTGAAGAGGACAGGTAGAAGAAAAAATTGTTTGATTTTATTTTGTATGTTTTATTTTTCCATAATTCATTAAAATTTTGCAGACATTTGATCCATCTGGTGGAGAAGTATGGGGTGAGAAAATGGTCACATATCGCGCAGATGCTAAAGGGGAGGATTGGAAAGCAGTGCAGAGAGAGATGGCACAATCATCTGAGGCCTGATATAAAAGTTGCATAAATTTCAATTAATTCTTCTTCCTAAACTTGTTCATTTAGTTTGTTTTTCCCCTTTCTCATTTTTTTCTTCATCATCAAGCTTTACGAGTTCATATATATTATCATGTTTTCTAGGATGATTTTTCAGTTGCGAGTTTAGTCGTGCACTCCTCGTGCTGAGTTAGCATACAACATGTGCAATATGTAATTCAGTTCAAGAAGTTAATACTAGAAAATTTAATCTGAAATAAGTTCAAAGATACCTGTCTAATACCAAATAGGAATTTTCAGTTTTAGATACTCCATTGATTTAAATATATTTTTGTTTTCCAGACTCTGGCTTATGATTATTCCTAGGATGGCTTCTGTTCTCAGAGAGGAAAAATTTAAATGAGTTAAAGAGCATAAAAATTTTAAAAATTCTTAAATAGTTTGATTCTGCTTGGCGTTATGTAAAAAACTGATCTGTACATGACTTCTATAAATTATATTTATTTATTTTCTTCTTTTAGTGTGTGTTTTTTCTTTAAAATCTTATTGAGATTCTAAAATTGGTGAAATTTCTTGAGCAGAAGGATGTATGGACTGAAGAAGAGGATAAGATTCTGATTGAGTCTCATGCAGAAGTGGGAAACAAATGGGCAGAAATTGCCAAAAGGCTGCCAGGGAGAACTGAGAATTCCATCAAGAATCACTGGAATGCAACAAAGAGAAAGCAGTTCTCAAGGCGAAAATGCAGGACCAAATGGCCGAGGCCTAGCTCTCTACTCCAGAACTACATAAAAAGCTTGAATTCGGAGAAAGAATTTGCTGCATCATGCACTACTACAAATGCTGGAATCATTAACAATGATAATGTTTCAACGAAGACATTAGAAAAGCCAGGTTTTATGGATTTTCGCATGCCAGATTATGATTTTGATGAGGTCCCAGAATTCACATTGGATGATAAATTGTTTGAAGGAATTAGCATTGACAGTTTCATGGAGGATATATCAGGTGGTTCTCCGAAAATTGATGAAAAATGCTTTGATATAGGATTACCCTTTGACATGCCCCCATTGATGCAATTTAAAGGGACAAACACTCATTGGTTTATGCCATGTGTTAACATATAATTACTGGAGTTATTCCCACTAAACTACGCCGGCAATGCACACTCGCTTGACCTACACTTATCTTCCCCAGTTGACCCAAATCAACCCTCATTGATAAATCATAAACCCTCAAATTTCTCAATTTCTCTTTTCACAGAGGCATATAGTTCCTATCACAAACGGTTCGGATTCGGATCCGGAATGGCTGTACGGGCGACTATGACACGGTTCCCGGGCGACCCGGATGCCCAGGAGGCGTGCGGCTTGCCGTGGGGCGTCACGTTGACTCCATTTGCTACAAAGGATGAGAACAGCTGCCCGCCGGTGTACGGATCGGAAGGGCATTTGTTGCCTCGCTGCGAGAATTGTTGGGCTTATTACAATACGTATTGTGACCAGGAGCAGTGGGCATGGACCTGTGCCCTTTGCGGCACACTCAACGGGCTTTCATCTCAGTCAATTGCCAGATATTCCCTCCCGGATTCGTGCCCGGAAATTTTGTCGTCATTCATCGACCTTGAATTGCCTCGTAATGGCCTTTTTAGCTTTAATTTCGCTCATTTTCTTTAGTATTTTGCAAGTATATTTCGTCAATTTTGGTGCCGCTGACAATATACTAGTGCTTTACAATGCTCTTCCGTGGTTTTCGTTTTCCGGTTGCTGAGACATGTGGTGCTGCAACAGTTTTACCTTGCTCATTGTAATATAATCGCTCCCCCATGCAATATGCATTCACTAAGGAGTCTCAAAATATACCGTCTTTTAAAGACCTCGAGATTCCCTCACAATTTCCACCATAATTTATGATGCTTATCCTCCCGCAGGTGACTATATATGATATTGTGATATGAGATAGAATCACTCTCACGGGCATAATGAGTTAAAATTATCATTTCCTTTGTCTGAGAATATTTGTATGCAGGAATTACGAGCTCGATCCTATGTATAATATAATTTATTATAGCAAATTGTTCATGGAGATACAAGAAATTCTGTGATACTGTCTTGTTGGTGCAAGATGCAAGCATATGGTCCTGCTTAAGTACTTTACTTTGTGCATGGGTATTTGCAAATCTCGCTGCATCCCCATGCATATGAGTACATGCCGTCTCATTTTTATTTGATTGCTGATTGTTCTTCTTGTGGTGGCAGTGGAAGGATCCGAGGAAATGCAGCCAAAGCCAGTGTATGTTGCAATGGTTGATCTTTCGTGTAAGATTTGCTCAACTCTATGGTAAAATTTTGTAAGTGAATTATTTGTTGACTGCTATTTGATTAGTATAGAAATGCCTTTTTTCTTTATTTTGTTTCTGGGATCGGTATGGTATAATGGGTGTTAATTACTGAGAATTGGAATTATCCAATGCTAGAGCTTGTATATCACTTTGATAGGGTTTAATGATTGTTATATGACTGTCTGATCATATTATCTTGCAAAATGAACTGAACTGTGTGCATTATCAATGTTATTCTAATTTGGGGCTGTTCTCTTTGTGTTTGAGTTTTGAGTTTCATTTTGAGTTTTGCGTTTTGAGTGTTGTTATTGAAATTGTTGAAAACATGTTCTTTTTGTCGTTTTGAAAAAATGTTTCCCAAAACATAAAATTCGAAAACTAATTCACTATCCTGCCAAACCTCAAGCCTGTTTTAATTCCCATCTCCACCACCAAATCCACCCTTCACCCGTCACCATCATGTATAAAATTTGCGGCGACGTCGGCCACCAAGACCACTAGATATTGGTACCATCGGAAAGCCTTTAATCTCTTCTTCAATCATCAACCAACATCTTCCCATAACTCCATTGAATTTACCCGGAATCCATCTACAAAGTAGCCTACTCGAAAATCTGAAAATTGCCGGAAACTCCACCTCCGGCCACCAAATTGGTCGGAGCCCACCACCGGTCGATTGCCTACCACAAACTGACCCCAACCATGGCTCCAATTTACCACAAACAACAATCCAACAATCGAATTAAACCTAGACATATTGGTCGTTGTGAAGCAGGATTTGCAGAATCCGAATTTTGCAGATTCCGGCGCCGTTCGGTGGACCCATGGTCGCGGACCACGTGCGTTGAACTCCTCTTCACTTGGTGCACCTTGTCCAGCCATGTGTGAACCCCAATTTTGCTCAGAAGTTGATGAATTTATGGGCACACCTTGATGAATATATGGCCAAAATCGTGACTGGTAGTTGCGGTGTGAGGGGGTTCGATTGTTGAGGAAGAAGAGGTGGCGGTCGTCAATTGTTGAGGAAGAAGTGGTGGAGGAATGGCTGTTCTTTCATGGTTTTCTCACGCATAGTGGAGAAGAAATGGAAAAAGGCTATTTTTCGTGTTTTCCATTTTTTACTTGTTTTGTACAGAAAACACCCAAAACGACATTTTGGTTGTTTTGTGTTTTCTCCACAAAATATTTTTTTTTTCGAAAACGCGTTTTCAAAAATGGGAAAGAAAATGTGTTTTCACCGTTTTGAAAAATCGAAACTAGAAAACAGTCCGAAAACGCCAAAGAGAATAGCACCTTAATATCTTAAATAAGACGATAGAAATTAAAGCAAAAAATAAGTTTACACCATCATCCTTAGCACATTTCAATTTAGCCCATTATGTGAAAATTAGAGGAACTACAAGAGCGAAATTAAAGATAAAGTAGAAGAGAATGCTTGAAACACATCCCTGAGAAATGTTACCATTAATTACTCTCCTTCCTGTGGGTAAGTATCCATGGTTGGTTAGTGTTTTATTCATGACTTGACTGGGTTGCTAATGCACTTTTAATTTAGTCAATATTCTTTCAGTGAAATAACTTGCATTTAGATGGTGTTATTGACTATTGAATTGCTTAAATGATTTCGTGTGGTAAATTTAAATACTGTATCATTAAATACAATTTCAAGAATTGTCTCTTTAGCAATTGATTCTTTTTAAGTGCATACCGTGCCAATTACAACTGAGACTTTTTAGCCAGCAGCAGACTGCTTATTGAAAGTCAAAAGACAAAATGAAAAGTCATACTACAACAACTGTAAACATTCCCTTCTCGATCTGTCTTCGATCGAATTTTGAATGGAAACTATAACCAGATAGTCATTTCAACTAGGGAAGAAAACAGTTAGCCAGCCAAATTTAAATCACTAAATCTGGATGTCCAGAGTAAAGAATGAGGCAATCTCAAGAAGACAGAAACTAACATAGAAACGAGATTGCAATGGTGCTTTTCGATCTAATACCATGATTAGCCAACAAAATTGTCGGATATAACAACTTCAAGCCGTCTTTGGCTTAATACGCTTCACTCTTGAATACAGGAACACTCCAGAAAGGGCTATGCCAGTGCCTGCACCAAATGACAAATAAAGTCAATTTTAGTACTGCAGAACTTGGTTGATTCGTTTCAAATCCTCTACAAGTTCATAGAACGCCATGTGAAGTATTTTACCCAAGGAGTTAATAGGTGAAACTGGTGTTTGGAAGAAGAGAACAGAGGTCACAATCACCACCACCCTCTTCACGCAGTTGCCCACAGAATGGGTAACTGGAGACACCCTCTGCAATATCATGTACGAAACCTGTATAACAACCCTTGTTAGCAATCTCATAATAATAGCCTCTTTGGATAGATTTTATGATACTTTCAAACATTAATATTTGACTTGTATCAAGTTACCTATGTGACTGAGTACTTTGACAGAGATTCGTGGTTCAAAATTCCAGGTTGCGTGGTATTATGCAAGTTTTGAAAAATGGAAGAAAAACCTGAGATGCTTACCTGCTGATATGCATGAAAACACAGAGCAGCAAGGAGAGACCTCGTGTAAAGTTGCCTGATATTCAACCCCTGGCAAGGAACAATATGAGGATAAATTTATCTTGTTTTAATTTTCTGACAGATGAAATAATGACCCAACATATGAAATTCATGAAATGGAAAATCTTGATATATTCTTACTGTGATACTCTGAAGGTATGATGGGGTAAACTTAACTCCTTCCATAAATATAGCAGCAGGAGCCAGCAAGATGAAGGACATAATTGTGATTATTGAGAAGAGAGTAATGTTGTCCAAAGATTCCTATGAGGGAAAAAAATGAACTGGAGATGATGCACCAATCCTAGAAAAAAAAATGTGGAAAACAACCTTCCAATTTCATTTTTTCCAAGTAATTTGGAAACAAATGTCACGACTGATATATAATGACAAAAATATTTACTGCAATCATATTCCACAAGCAATTCTCATCAATACAGCAACAAATAATCCCTTATTTAAGACCTACAATCCTGAGAAACACTGCATCGTTTCAGACAGAGAAAAATAAAATTGAGACTATATATACCTCTTTCTTGACCATAAACTTCTTGCTAAGGACATTCCGAGATTGATTGGTCAAATTTGAGGCCATGGCACTCCAAAAACCAGCCCTTAAAACAGAGTACAAATTCCAGAAAGACTTAGCATATACAGTTAAAGAGAATAGAAGCAAAATCATTTATTGAGAGTGATGCATTATCATGTCTCACCAATTAAAAGAAGCCTCAGTCATTGATGCCAAACCAACTCCACCAACAATTGGTAAGAGAGACGCAATTACCCATATTGTAGGAAACTGCGCAAAGTGGAAAAGAAATTATTGAATGTCTCGGAATATAGCAAAATACTTAGTGTAATCAGTGCTAGCATTGTAGCACCCTGAATTCAACTCCTCTATAGAAACTGACAGTAAGTTATGAAACAAATTAGATCCATAACATATTACATAGGGCAAGATTTGGAATAGTATAGACTTTGGGAGAGTATTTCACAAACTACTCCACAATTTCTTTTCTCCTATGAGACTGAAGGTTGTAATTAGGAAAGTTCAGATTCTTGAAGCTGTGTAGAAGCAGGATGAGAGTCTTTTGCCACTTCAGAATGGTTTCCAATACAGGTACAATGGATAATAAAAGGGGTTTTGGGTTTTGAATAATGTTATCTAGCACCAGTAGTACCAATCTAGGTAGTCACTCTTGTTCAATTAAATGAATCAAGTGACAACACATTTAAGTGGATCCATAAAATGCCATACAGTTGTTATCTAGACCAGTACTTTACACCAGTTGTGATGAATAGCATCACTCTTGGATATTTTATTCTTCCAGGTTCATTAGCAGATCATTTTCTCTCTTCATTTTTTCTTTATCCATCTCAAATTCTCCTTTTCTTTCTTTTACGATCATATGAAAATCGTCTATTTTTATCAAACTTAAAGTTTTTGTTTGGATGTTAATACCACAGAATATCCAAAAGAAAGAGTCCGCATGTCCTTTTGTGGCCTTCTTGGTGCATTCTATGACATAATCTAAATTATTTGATCATCTTTTGTTGCACTCAATTGGCCTCGAGATGTTAGAGCAAGCGAAAAGGGGAATTGATTGGGAGACTCCTTAAACCAGCTTTTCATTGACATCTCTGTATAATGGTGGGTTTGGTTCTTCCATAAAAGCTGAAATTATTTAAAAGCATTAAGTTTTGATATCCTTTGGGTCCTTATGTTGAGGAAGAAATGCAAAAATTTTAGCAGAGTGGCAATGGACTTTTCTGTGGAAGAGGATTGTATAACGGGATAGGATGTCTTCTGAATCCCATCTTTCTATATTTTGGGAAAATCACATAATATGATCTTGATTTCTGAGTTTATCTCTAGCATAAAGAGGATGTCTTGTCCCCTTTTTGTACTTACTATATTTTCCAATAGAATCTCTCCTCTTCTTATGAAAAAAATAGAAAAGGAAATAGTTATGTTTTCCCATTATAAAGCGCTTAGGAATCTGTGATTATGATAATTAATGTAGAATCAGGAATTATCTAGTTATTAAATAGGAACACTGTCCCAAGTCCAGTATATAAGAGCTCAAAACAGACAGTTCTAACAAAATGAAGAAATGTATTATATTATGGCTGCTTCAGCCGACAGAAATATTATACATCATGATAATATAAGCATTCAGAAACTCCATGAGAAGCGAGAATGAAAAACATAACTTAAATAATAGGAGTGGACTTGAGAAAATAGGAATAGCACCTCTCCTAAGAACATAGCTGAGAGGACAACTGAGAAAAAGGGCTCCATAGCTTTAATTGTATGAGTGAATGAAACAGCAACTTTTCCGAGACTCATGTTGGTGAAAAGGTTGCCCAAGGTATGAACCAAGGCCAACGGAAGGATTGCCGCAAGCTGCCCGTGGCAATAGATGATTAGTTTCATATTTATGGATGATCAACTGAACAAAAATATTATAGCATAATAATTCCTGAATAGTATAGAGTACCTGTGCACCACTGATTTTAGGCCGTTTGTAGAGATTGGATGTCCACATGATTATAACAAGGACAGTCCCAACAGCAAATTGAACTAGAGTGACTGTCACTGGGTATGGGAAAGCTTTAAGGACCTGCGACAAATTAGCACCATTATTAACTTCCACTATTAAATAGCTAAATACATTTGTCGGCATGGAACTGAGATCTCATATGTGATATCAATAATAAGTTAATTGCAAGGCCATCATCCCATGCCATCAACTCTAACAGCAAAGTTTTTCAAAGTCAAGTGCAGAACAAATTGTTCACATGAAATTATTTCTAAAATAACAATGTGATTGTCTACATATCCTCCAAATCATCAACAATTAAAAATCGATCTCACAGCTGCAGGTGGAACTGAAACAATCATAGAGTAAAGAAGCAACGAGAAAGAAAATTGTTTCCCGCATTTCGATCTTGACTTTCATTAGTATGACTGAAGACTTGACCAAGATAATCTTCAATAGCATTTCATTTATTTTCTTTTAGGGGAAACACGGCATAATGTATATTTGTCTTGTCCCGACTGTCTAACAAGCGAGTCTTTGCTTAGAGGGAGGTGTTTATTTTATTGGATAACAAGTATGTTATAAGTTAAGAGGCATTCAAAGAACACCCTTTATTTCATAGAAATTGGGCAGCAGCATCCTGCCACGGGATTCCTTTTGGTTTTCTGCACCAAATTTGCAAACCAAACAGAATCTAATCGGCTGAATAACATAAGGCCAAGCTCTAACTCAGTGCAAAACTAGTGTTTCATTTTTAAGAAGAATAATTGAAATTTAATATCTCTGCACCATGCAAAGTGAAAATTTGGAATAACCTTCCTTGTAAGAAACTTCTATAAGCGCGAAATATAGTTTATCTAAAATATAAATGAAAAAACCAAATCATTTGTATGCAGGGTAAGGAAAACAATCAAATATACCTTCATATCCCAAAGAAATCAGTTTCTGAAATTACAGATTGAGTCTCAAGTGATTTGAAAAAATAAAACTTCCAAGCTTAAGCTGCGAGTTATGGCCACATATATACATCGACTAAATATTGACTTCAATACAACCCTCAAGTGTAGGCAGGATTTACATTTTCCCATAAAAGCATTGTATTATTTTTTTTTAAATATTTTTTTTCATCATTAATCCAAGATGGATATTATCTTCAACCATTATTACCAATTAATATCATCAAAATTAACAATAATCATGTTCCCAATATCTCACCATCTAAACATGAAGGAACACATGTTACACATCTACAACTATCTTGACCAGATCATTGTAAACTAAGAAAAGACCAAAAAATAAGAAAGCAAGTACCTGCTTGTTGTAGAGATTGAAGTAGATATTAAATAGGTACCAGAGCCCGAAAAGCGATCCTAGCACCAAAGTATCCAAAACACTCTTAGATTTCGGACTCTCAGCAGCCCCTGCGCTCTCTGGTACAGATGCGGCCCGAGCCATGACGCCCTCGGACTCGGTCTCCTGATTTCCAGGTGCAGGGTTCGAAATCCACCCATTGGGTCTCAAAGAACAGATAACTGAACCCACTTTACGACTCGAAGAAGTATGAGCCAAATTTGAGCCCGACACCCGGACATTCTTGAAACAGAGCTGTTTCGACGGGGTGAGAGAAATGGGATTGAATCTGTAGAGAGAGGAGGCCTTTTGAGACTTCGCAGAGAGAGAAATGGAAGGCGAGAATGCAACTGCTGTGCTCTGCATTTTCCTAGATTCAGATCACAAGAGCTGTGAGAGAGAAGAGGTGGAGTGGGGGTGGGTATGAATGTATATATTTGTGTGGGTGGAATAACGTTGGCGGCTCCGTCGAGGAGCGAACAAGTTTGGTGGCAGTTGTATGTAATACTGCATACAAATCAGGAATATTCTCGGGATCTTGTTTGCGTAATTAGTCATTTGTAAAAAATGTCTAATTTAAAAGAATTTAGATCAAAATATTCTTATTAACAATTTATAATTTCACACTAAGACAAAAAAATGGACATTTTTGTAATATTGTTATTACCCAATAAAATTTTGACACATAATCTACCATATTTATTTCAAAAAATATACATGTCAAATCAAAATAAATGCTATATTTTTCATTGATTCAGAAATGTCGAGAACGACATTTTTAAATGTAGAGAAATGTCATGTTCAAAATAAAATGTCATTCTAAATAAATGAAACGGTGTTCAAATGCCGAGAATGACATATGGAATGTCGAGAATCATTATTTTAATGTAGCTTCTCATTAAAGTCACTTCTCAAAATTTGTGACAAATTGATAAAAAAATCAAATATCGAAAACGACATTTAAAATGTCGAGAATATCATTTCAAAATGTAGCTTTTCATTAACGTCATCATAAACAAATTGGCACTAAATTCAAATGAGTTGACACTTTTCAACTCATACCCTTAAAATTAAACATTTTTAAAAATGCCTTAGAAAAATACATTTGTGTCACTTGCATTCATTTGCGAAAATAGTTCTGATTGTTTTAAACTTGACATTTATACTCTTATTTCAAATCTTTCTTATGGAGTTGATCCTCTTTATTAAACCTTGCCATAAAATATGGATAATTTGCGCTAAAGGTCACTATTGTTTGCATTCATTACACAAATCATTCTCATTGTTTCAATTTTAACATTTGATAGATATTTCTTCGCACGAAAAGTCCTTATCGTCTTTTTTTTCATTAAAGAATTATAAAATAATTAATTTACCCCACTTTTTAAATAATCAAACAGGAAAGAAGAAATAATATAAGTGTTTGTTTGGTAGGAATTTTGTTAATTAATTTTTTGACTGTTAAAGATAAAGTGGGTCCTACTTACGAAAGAAGAATTAAAAAATGATAGGTAAAATAGTGAAATAACGATCAAAAAAATTAATATTAATTGAATTAAAATATTTATCAAACATATTCTAAAATAATTACATCTAGAGCTCTAAATTTTTTTAAAAGTACAAACGAGTTTAAAGTAAAATAATTTAAAATATTATTAAAAAAAAAATTATCTTCCATGCTAACCCACGTACCCCTACACCCACTCCCTACGCACCAAAATAATTAAAAAAATTAAAAGCATAAAAATAGAAGTAAGAAATGAAAAATAATTGAAAAAAAAAATATATGTTTCTTCCTCATCCAAGATTCTTTTGCCTCGTATATAGGAATTTATCTATTTTCTAACAAAACGAAAACAAAATTCAGAAGCTGACGCAGTGGGTACACATGTGTATATATAATCAATGACAAGAAGATAGAAATAAGCATTTGTTGAAAATAACTAAATTCCCTAAAGAAAACTTTTGTAATTTCGGTGAAGACAATAATAATAATAATAATAATAATAATAATAATAATAATAATAATAATAATAATAATAATAATAAAAAATAAATAAATAAATAAATAAATAAATTTAAATACGTAACTTGATTACGGAACAATACTTAAATTCCTAAATTATGCCATAATGGAATGGGAAAAATGGGGGTAAAGCGGGATGGTGGTAACGGTTGATGGCAAGGTGCGCAATTTAGCTCTTGTTTGATGGCCAGTATAAAGAGAGAAATTGGATTAAAATTGGGTTTTGAATAGTAATTATTTGGAGAATATTTGGTTAAAAAGTAGGAGCATTTTGAACTTAAGTGTAAAATATTTCATTGTGTGAATGTATGATTAAAAGTGAGTATGAAAAATAAAAAGTTTTAATTTAAAAAGAGTCAAAAAATGGTCTTTGTGAAAAAGAAATACCATTTCTTTTTCCTTATTTTTATTTTTATTTTTTTAAATTTTTTAATACTTTATAATTATTTTGGAGGTGGTAGTGGTCAGTGGAGGTTAGGGAATGGGCATAAGGGTAGGTGAGTTAATTGGATAGATAATATATATATATTTTTTGTTAGAATGTTTTAAAATATTTTATGTGAGATTTGTTTGTACTTTTTTAAAATATTGAAACTCTAGATGCAGTTTTTTATATTATTTTTTTCTACTTGATTATTTAAAATGTAGATAAATTAGTCATTTAATAATATTTTAATGGAAAAAATAGAAGGTAAGAACTCTTTGTACAAAGAAATGTCAATCTCAATGTCCCATGTCAAAATTGAAACAATAGGGACGATTGTTTAAGAAGGTAAACAGTAGGGATGATTTGTGTAAAAGATGCAAACGATAGGGACGTTTTGTGCCAGTTACCTATATTTCATGAAATGATTTAATTGAACATGACGGGAATGACCAACTCCACAAGAAATATTAGAAATGAAGGTATAAATGCCAAATTTGAAACAATAGGAACTATTTCCGCAATAAATACAAACATTGGGGATGTTTTATCCTTTTTTTTTCTAAATAATGATTAGACTTGAAACCACGTCCAACGCTCTGTAATGAATTCTTATGCATAATGAAGCAAAGTAAATTCTTTTGAAATTCCTATGTCCACATTTCGAATGTCAAGACATGAAGGATGTAGTTAAAAAGTGAGTATATTAAAGTAAAAGAAGTTGGAACGAATTCTAAACCAAGTTAGTTGTGTCGTGCATATGGACAAAAGCATGCCATGATTCAAAAAATTGAACTCAAATTCAAACGAGTGAGAATATTAAAGTAAAAGAAGTTGGAACGAATTCTAAACCAAGTTAGTTGTGTCGTGCATATGGACAAAAGCATGCCATGATTCAAAAAATTGAACTCAAATTCAAACGAGGCATCCTTCATGTCTTGACATTCGAATGTGGACATAGGAATTTCAAAAGAATTTACTTTGCTTTGTTATGCATAAGAATTCATTACAGAGTGTTGGACGTGGTTTCAAGTCTAATCATTATAGCAGAAAGGGAAATTATCATCTCATTATTTATTTATTACTGGTTACATAATAGAAGTTTCGCCTATACTTTCTACAGACTATTCATACATAGTTTGCAAAATGTGCTTTCAGTGAAGTTTGTTAATTCTACTTATATAGATCACTGATTGGAAAATCATCTCCTGTGTAATTTTATTTATCTTCGCCTTGTATCGCAGCTTCTTAGTTGGTCTTTTGTCCAACTGGAAGAGAACCTCCTGAAGGGTGTAAGAGAGTTAAATCAGAGGCATATATTTTCTATTTTGAATGCCTTAAGAAAAAGGTGTAAACACCAAATTACACGAGAAGCAACATGAAATAGAGAACATTATCCGCAAGTGTTAGTCCCAATTGTTCAAACCTTTTATATGTTCGAGTATTTTTCAGTAAAATACAAAATCTAAAAGTGCAGAAAAAATTATAAAGACAACACAAAGAATTTTCGGTCATAGGCCCCAAGGTTCGGCGACCAACTAACGCCTACATCCCCGTTGAGCATCCATACGGTTTAAGCTCGAATCCACTATCAAGATACCCATATTGGGCAAAACCAAGTTACAAACATTTGAGAGTACACTGCCGTTTCTCTTATCACAAGAGGCCCTCAGATTCTATACATGGATCTCACACAAAGATAAATCTCAACAATTCCTTTAAAGGATTTCACTCAAAAATCACAAAGAAAACCCACAGAAAGATGGAGAGTTCGAAGAGGAAGAACGGCAGTCTAGAAAATGAAAAAAAAAAAATAGGGTTAAACAAAATATCTCAAACCCTAGTTATATGAGATGTCTTCCATAGACCAATCCAACGGTCACAATTATGCCACGCGTAAGAGATCCAGCAGAGGACGCATTTTGGAGTTAAATTGCGCTTCTAGAAAACACGACCTTGTCAAGTCTAGAACCTTCAGTAAATGTTTGTTAAAATCATTGGGCCGGATCATGCAGAATATCAATTGGGCTCAAAGATTTCAGCAGCCCAAATCCTTACAACAAGAACAAGGAGTTAAGTGATAGAATAAAAGCAGTGTTAATCTAATTGGGCTGCCTCACTACTTTACTAGGCCTGTTGGGCTGCCTATTTTGTAAAACTGGGTTGGAACGCATTTGGAAAAGTCGAATTTTATAAAAAGACAACTTTGCCTCTTTTAATTGGATTGTGATATGCCGTCGATGTGGCTTACTCTTGACCCTAGATTATGTATGTTGGTATGGACTGATACTTATACTTGGGCCTCTCGTCTTCTTTTCTCTGTGTGAGATAGGATTTTCTCTAAAATCTATAACTGTGATCTTTATGTTTAATCTCTTTTCTTTTAGTAAGAGATTATGAGCATTTTGGTTACCTATTGTAAATGGCTAAAGAAAACTTGAAGAAGTATTTCTTCATACGTTTTGTACTGTTGCATTGTTGATATTAGTGGATTTAGAGCTATATCTCTTGGTAGATGCTCAATGGATGATTAGGTTTCAATACCGAATATCTGGGCCCTTTTAGGGCAAAACAATTCTTGTGTCCTTCAGTTTTTTGATATTCTGCATCTTTACAAAATTTTACAATTTTACAAACTTCAACACTTTTCTGAACGATCTGGTATAACAAATGGTATCACAGCCTTTATCTTCAAAGGTTTTGGCTTAGGGTGTGTTTTTTTACCCTAGTTTTTTCAAAATCTTTATAAAGTAGCAGATCTAGAAATCAAGTTCCTTTAGACCATAAGAGCTTGAAAGAGCAAAGAAGTTTCCATCTTATTATTCCCTTGCCAACAATTTTGTCTCTGTATTGATTGCAAAGGGTTGATTAACATTGTCCAATTTGCCATATGATGAAAACTGCAAGTTTGCAAGTCATTTAAGCACTAGAATTGGTGATTCCATATGCTGACGAAAATCTTAACATGTTGATGCTATGTGAAATTGAGCATAGAGGGAAGCATGGGATTTTCTTTTTGTTACATGTTGCCTCATATTTTAAGTTCGCAACAAAACTACATTAGGGTTGATCTCGAGTTCCATGATATGATAATGACAAAGTAAACGACAGACATGCTCCAATTTGGTGCTAAGGTCAACCTCAGTTTTCACCGACCCAACTACCTATCCCAAAAACAAGGGCGAAGTCAGGGGACAAAAATTTTAGTTAGCAGTTGGTTTGCATTTTCATTTTCCATTTTTATTTTCAAAACGATTTTTAGTTTTCCCTGAAAACGGCCCGTTTTCCGCGTTTTGAGCTATTTGGCAATTTATAACTGGAAACGCTCAAAATGATAAAAAATCGTTTTGCGTTTTCCGTTATAAATTTTAACTCGTTTTCGAAAATGCATTTTTGAAGACGGACCAAACGCGTTTTCCGCGTTTTCGAAAACGAAAAATGGAAAATGGCCCAAAAACAGCAAACCAACCACACCCTTATTTTTTTTTTTTGTTTAGGCGTGCTGCCTGCTCTCCCTCTGACCCTGGCTAAAAGGATCCTCAGCATCCAATTTGACATTAAATCTCCAGTCCTTCCTTACGTTATCCACCCTACAAGACAACTGAAGAAACTTTGATGTCCTTATCAGCAGATTACTTATGAATGCAGAGATCTCAGTTTGTATTCGAGAATGTCCTTCCTCAGATAAGTAAGATTCCTATGCAGGTGGGTACTGAGCCACTTATTCTTGATGTCTGGGAAAAAAAGTCAAGTCAAATTTGTTATTGAGCATACATCTGGCCAATAAAGATCCTGGCAGAGAAAAACCTGAGTAATCAAGTATCAACCTTGTACTAATTTATATGTTTTCCCAAATAAGAGTAAAGGACTTCAGAATGCATTCAATATTAATAATCTGCCATTAATTTGCTCAATTGTTCAAGTCTTCTATTAGTCAAGACATTGGTTTACATCACTTCCTTCAGGATATGGAAAACCTTGAATTCTTGGGCATTTCTTCCTTGAGGTTCACGACTAAGGCCATACATTTCATTTCCGTGATCTTTGCCTATATTGTGGAATAGCCAATATCTTTTCACCTTGTCGCAAAACCTCCTTGAATGGCTTAAACTTTGTGGAAGACAACATTTTCTTCCATATTCTCAATAAAACCTTGTAAGACGACAAAATTTACACACTTCTTCAATTGCAAACGAATACCACTTAATTAAAAAGGCAAAAAATTCTATTTAGGTATTGGAAAATGTTCGTTTTTCATCATACTTGACAGATTCTTTTACAAATTGATGAGATAACGATAAATTGAATAAAATTGTCAAAATCCCTTCATCATTTAAACTGTTGTGCTTACGTAATGTGGGTTATGGCAAAAAGAAAGTGGGAGAATTTTTTATTTTTACTTTGATTGGTACCACCACCACCACCTACTGCATTCGAATTGTAATATACTGGTCATGAATTCCATTCTGTGTCAAGATTTCTTCAATTCAAAATCATATACCTTAAGAAATCCAACAAATGTTCATTTCACCAAATCATAATGGATGGTAATACTACTGCAATCGAGTCATTCTGCAGCCATGGGAAGCCCAGATCTAAGGCTGTATCGAGATCTTCTAAAGCTGGTTTTCAATCCCCTATTGGTCATGTCGCCTGTTTCCTAATGCAGAACGGGTAGGATCTAGTTCACCAGTTTACATCTCTGCTGTTCTTGAATACCTCGCGATGAGGTCTGTCATGTTAAGACTTGGAGTTTCATCTTAGAAGGTCAATATTGTTAAGAGGAATCGTCCAAACATATATAAATTGTTCTATGCTTTCACCTTTTATTCAATGTGAGATTATATTCCTTAAGATGACATCGCAAGATGGTGGCTCTTTTGAGCAGACCAACCTTTAAATCCGTTTGTTCATTTTTTTAGTATTAATTGGATCAAATTGCTCGTTGGAGCTTAATTGACTTTGATATCATATTAAAATTTGGGGTTTCATCTTAAAAGATCGACCTTAATTGATCCATGTTTTCACCTTTATTCATTGTGAGATTATATCCTTTTAGGCTTTAACACATAAATGTAATTTTAACGTTTTTATTGTGCATGCATATGTAATGGGTGACACTATACGTACATAATAATGTACACACTAGTTTACACGCCCTCACATGGAAAGGGGCCCACGTACAATAAATTATGCATGGCCACCCTTCATGTGAGAGGTTTATAACCTATGTGTAAACATTGGTATACAAGCAGCATTACCCAAAATTATATAAGATGTTTCTGATTTGGTAAGTTGGATTTTGATATTTAATTGTTGGAGCTTTCTTGGAATGGTGCAGGAGACAACAAAAAGAATCGGTTTACTCCAATGCACATGTAGAAGGCTGAAAAAGGATTAATGCTATCTGACAATAGTGGCGGTGTCAGCATGTCATAGTCCAAAATAAATGAGTCATGAATCCTTATGTTTAATTGAATGACAAAAAGTGTTGTCACTTAGATCAGTGTTAAATGCCAATTGTGCTGAATAACATTACTGTGTAAAAATGAAGAGGAGTTGATGAAGTTGTTGGGTTTGGTGATAATTGCAAATGGTAGTGTTCTGTCCAACATTCATCGAAAACTTCTTCTGAAGAAGAAAGGTGGGAAGGGTGAAATTGGGTCTGCTTACAAGAAATTTGTGGCTTTTGTTTTGAATACAAAACGGTGTTATTGGGTTCAAATTGAAAGGATTTGGAGAACTGCAGAGGTTGCGGATTGCGGAGGGTGAAATTGGGTCTACTTGTTACGGATTGCGAAGGGTGAAATTGGGTCTGCTTCACTTGGTTTTAGATAAAGATTCCAAAATTTTTAAAGTTTTTCTTGGTCTAAAGATTCCACATTTTTTAAAGTTTTTCTTGGTATAAAAGCCATATGTGGCGATGGCGGCGGTGACGGTGGCGCCTTTTCTTAGTATAAAAGCCATGTGGCGGTGGCAGAGAAAGAGATTTTTGTTTTTTAATTATTTTAATAGGAGTTATTCCACAATAATGACAAATGTCAGCGACATTATGCCAGTTACTCCTTGATCTTTGTACTTAGTCAAATAGACTTCATCCCAGTTGACTTTTCAAAATCCACCATAAATCCTGGCTATAAAAGCGACTCAAATTATTCTGCTTGTGAATCATATCAGCTACGCATATCCCATAACTCAAACAAAAGAGCTCTGAGATACCAACCAACAAGTCGGGGGAAAATAAATTGCTCAGAAAGGTTTATAAATGGGTTCATCTAACTGCCCGGGACTTATCTCGCTGGATGAATGCCGAAATTATTGCAACGATGATTACGAGCTACGGGAACAAAAGAAACTTGATTCAACGATGCCATGGATTGGCATGTATATTGCAGCAGCTTCTGTAGTCTGCGCAATTGCTATGGCAGCTGATGCCTTTTGTGGCTTCAGAAACAAAAGGCTCTGGTTCCCGTGTAAGTACTTCTCTCTGAATGCAACTTCATTGACCCTATTAGCTATCACATTGAAGTTGCCAGTGGATATTACTGCCTTTGTGTTGGGCAATTACGATAAGATAGCTTGGGTTTGTAGCCCCATCTTGATGTCAACTTCTATGGGAAATTTCATGATAGCTTTGGGATCCATGAATGGTAATGAGATCTTACTTAACATGACTGCTCTAGGCATCCTGATAATTACAGTTATTGTCAATATTTGTATCCGTATTATCCAAATGCGTGATTTTGATGTTATAGAGATATTGGGAGAAGCAATTGCAGCCACTGTTTTTATGTTTCTTTCACTTGTTATCTTCGTATCTTTGTCTTTAACGGTTCCAACCACCAGAATATATCTAGAATCAAAGTACAATGAAATGCACAAAATAGTTTTGGACAAAGAAAAAGTGGAGTGGAGGAAATTTACAGTCGATAATCTGAGACTAGTGGTGAAGAAGTATTGGGTGATGGCAGTAACTGGTAATCCCCAGTTTGTGATTGCACGTTCTGTTTTTAGCGCTACTTCAGGTGTGATGTGTCTGTTGATTGCTCTCACCTTGGTAGAAGCTCATATAAGGATGCCAATAGTGTACAAAGGATTTGGAAGGGTTTATTCTGCCTATAAGTGGTCCATCGATTGGATTATTGTAACACAGTCTATCGGAGTGGCAGTGGGTATTATTGCCCCTGCATTCAGATGGTTCACTGCTGCCAGCTTCAAGAGTTCAGAATTAGGGAGCAAAAGCTTCAGAGACGAATTCAAAATCGAGACTTATTGGATTCAGAGTCTTGTTGACTGGAGAGAAAGATCGTTGCCTATACACTTTCCGCACCACAAGTGCAGAAAACTTTTTCAAGATGCAAAATGGCTAATTCTCAATTTCTGCATTGGTGTTCAGATTCTAATTGTTTTGGTTGGCAAACTTTTTCTTCTTATTTCTGCATTATGCCTCCACCACATCAATACGTTGAAGTTATTCATTAATGATGCTGTTAAGATCAAGAAAAGATCAGAATCTGGCGAGGGCACCCAGCTGGATCTATCTAAGTACGTCCTGCTACTTGAAGGAGAGGCAGAAGTCCCTAAAAGGGTCTTGAAGAACATTTGCAATGAGGTGGACAAGCTGATGCAGAAATCTAAAAGAAAGTATCCGAAGAACCTAATTGAACTTCTAAATAAATCTACCAACTTCAATGGGGTTAGAGAATTTGACAGTAATGAAATTCCAAGATTAAATTCCGCAGCCGAGCCTCCTAATTGCTGGTCTCTACCCGTTGTGACTCTTACAAGCATTGCAATTTCACTTCCTAACATCCCAAATGACCGTGTCAATCAGTTAGTGAGGTGCGTCGGTGAAGGCTTATTGTTGCTAAAACTTATAGAGAAAAGCCTGGATAGAAATGGAGCTTTGGTAAACATCAGAAATGCAGCCGATGTTGTATGGGTAGAAGTTGAATTACATCGCAAGTGGCTAGATAAGGATCTCCATAAATCATATCTCCAAGGCAGAACCTCTGGGGAAACACTTGGAAGAGTTCTCCAATGAATCTAAAAGGACTGTAATGGAGTTCCACAGAGACGTGAATGATTTCCTCATGGAAAATCCTCTAAATTGGCCAGTTAAGATCATAGCTGCTAACTCAATGTACCGAATCAGTAAAACAATTTTGCTGTCTCTTGGCAATTACCAAACAGATGATCCGAGACTGTTTGACCATTTATCGCTCATGATTGCAGATATATTGGCAGCTTCCTTTACCAATTTACCACATGTTATAACTACAAAATGCCACAATAATTCTTCGGAGGAAAGGGAAAAGAGTATTCGTCAAGCAGCTATCCTTCTTGGTGAAACTGAAGAAATTCTTGAAATTCTTCAGCAGCGTGAGATTCCAAGCTTTGATCCCGATAAAGCAGCGTATGTTGAAGAGTGGCGCACTTTTATGCAGCAAGATAGAGAAAATCTGCTGGCCTAGTTCAAGTATTGCAAGTGCAACTCAGCAATCCATTGGAGAACATGTGGCTATTGAACTGCAGGGTTGAGTGCAAGAACACAAGCAAGTAGGAAGAATAGTTACTTCATTGCTGTAAAATTAGGTTTTGTCCAAATGCACGTTTATCCCGTCCTTCGCTTCTATGATTAGCATTGTTTATGCAATTATCTTGTTTTATTATTGTGATGTCATACTTGCAATGTTCCTAAATTTTTATCGAGTGTGAATTATCATCCGTTTGGGATTTTCTTCGGGGATGAGTTTTTCACTTTTTCTCAATACTTTAGCCGATGATATGAATTCTCTTCTTGTTAGAATAAGCTTGGGATAGTGCAATATATAACCTAAGAGACTCTAATTGTGATGTCTTGGAACTTATATTCCAAGTGTTAACCATTTAACTTAGGGTCTGCTTGGGATTTCCGATTACTGGTTATTGACAGTTTTTAAAAAATGGGTTTTTAATCGTTTAGGAAACAATTGATTTTGAGTAATTTTTGTAACAGTTTTTAGAACAATTTAACCCATTCTTGAGAGTTTATTATCCACCGATTATGAAAGTCTTTTTTAAATAAAATTACACATATGCTCCTTATTGAAATTTTCATTTTGTATGAATTTTTTTACTCATAAGTGATATTTTACATATAATTTTTACATATAATAATTGACATTAATTTTTACTTATAATTAATATATTTTTATTTTTTCTTTCTATAAGTAAATTTCATAGTTATAAGTTAATTTTGTACTTTAAAATAAGTTCTATAAATAAGTGAACTTTTTACTTGTAAATAAAATTTTTATGTTTTATAAGTAAATTTTTATCTCACTAGCAGTATATACTTTATGAACAAATTTTTACACAAAAATGAATTTTATTGTATAAGTAATATTTTATTTGTAAGTAAATTTTATAGAGATGAAGTTAGAAGAGAATCTAATGAACGATCAAAATCTATCGATTTGACAGGTTGTGAAAAAGGGTCAAAATTACACACCCAAATTCGGTGCCCAAAAAACCTAACAAGCACTAGTTTTCTCAATTCCTAATAAACACCGCCAGTGCCACAATTAAAGGGTCACACAGAAAATAAAATTTTAACTTCTATGGGACTAGGATGTTTTACTTATAAAGGCTTGCTCATTTTGAAAATAAAAATTGAAAAAAAAACTCTAGACAAAATAATTAAAGCACAATTTTGTACCATGTTACACATGACATATCAAAGTCCAACATGTCCAAAAATCTCATGAAAATAATGTCGCTTAGTTCTTCAAAACAATTTCTCAAATTCACTGCCTCCGGGCTCCAACTACAGCTAAACTGTGCAGGCAGTACTTCAAAAATTCAGTCAAAAATCATATAAAACAAACCAAACCTTTCCAAAACTTTAGATTGAAGAGTATGAAGGCTCATGCTCTGATTTCGTGCTTAATTCTCAATCTGAGTCGCAACTCACAAATTGGCTGCAGCTGAGAAGGAGATCATGCAAACCAGTCAACTTCTGTAGATTTTTAAAATAACTATGTTTTTCACCACAGGAAGGGCTTTATGTCAATGTAAAGGTCTATAAGTAATATGCACAAAATAAGCAGAGACCGAGAAGTGTAGTGTTGGGAATCTACTTAACATGCGCAGCAAAAAATTAAAATAATTTTCAGTTCCCACTAAAAATCGTCTTTGTGTTTAGATAGAAATTGTGATAAGATTGCACTTTTTCCAAATCTGCAAACTTCTTTGCTATTCTTTTCGTTCCAACAATCTTGATTCGCCACTCACAGCTGTCCAATTGTCAAGCCTCTAACGGTGATCGACACAGAGAACAAGATTACCGCTACCAATGTTTTGTCCTCTTGTGCTAACAAAAATAATTATGAGAAAAAAACATATCGATTGAAAACCTTAGCCATGTATTTATATAAGTCCAAACGGGTCTGGCCTGGTTCGATCCAATATTTAATTAATTCATTTAATTAAATCCAGTCTGTGAATTAATTAATTCAATTAATTAATTCGGGCCTATAAGTAACCAAACCAATTAATTAATTTATCCAACGATTGTTAAATTAATTAATTCACAAATTGCAATTTTCCAATTCTCTTTTGTGTGCGACCCATCAGGTTCTCGATCATGATACCTAACGACGTGAAATATTATTTTGATATAATCAAAATTGATAAATTAAAACGCTCTTTTAATTTATCATCAATTCACACTCGCCGTCCCAGATTGACATCTTGCAATGTGTTAGAGTAATACATATGACGGGAAATGTCATGTGGTATAACAAAACCAAACTCGTTCGTTTACCATGAAATTATAATCCCTTCGTCAATATAGTCTGATCAATTACGAGATATGAAAGTGTGTCAATCTCGATTATCGATCATATCTTTCACTCCACTATTAAGTCAAAATAAATCGAAAACTCATTTTCGACTTATGAGTACACATTGGTCAGAGATTTCGTTATCGACTTAATTGAGTGAAACGCAGATCATAATCTCTTACTATTTAAGAGTGACGAATCCTCTATTGGCCATTCACGATCTTCATATGATTATTGACATACCCGAACGATGCCGTATTAGCAGCCCTTGGCAGAGCAACATCCAACATTGTCAAAGCATGATCGTCCTCATATAAGGTACTATGACGACCTCAAGTCAAAAGGACCAATCCCACTTTCGAACGTTAGAGATTAGCCACTGACACTCAGATAGTTATCCATGTGGAATCTCTCGACGAGTCTTCAATGTATTGTTCTATAACAAAATATCCATGTGTTCATTTAAGTGTCATCACACTTTAGCTTGTGAGATTAGCTACTTACTTCATAAGTAAGAAATGCCACACGCGATGGTCTATCCGTAATAACGATATCCGTATCTCGTTATTAAAATGAATTTATTGCTTAATTCTATTTATCTTATTTTTATGACAAAATATCAAGCAAAGGCATGTAGAGGTATCATCCTAAAGTTGGAAACCAGAAGGGGTCAGATTAAATTGCAACTCATTGTAAAATTTCATCTTTTCTTCATAAGGCATACTTTTAAATTTTTAAAGCTTAGCCAACGCACTCTAATTTCGTCTGTGTCCTTGGATAATGCATCGAACATCCCATGCAGCCATAAAAAGATCCTATAAACTGTTAACTATTGATTACACTGTTAATATGATTTTAAGTTTCGTGTTAAACCCACAAGCATAGGGGATCATAGACAAATAATAGATTTAGTGAGTTAAGAGTATTATCCCACAAGAAATAATTCAATTCAAATTTACTAGTTTCATATGAAATTCGATTTATAAAAAACAAAATGGAGATTTTGATTTTATTTTTGCTAAATTATTCTAAGAAAACAATAAAAGTTTGGTTTTTAGCAAATTATAGATGATTGCATTGGATTTTGAATCCACCTATTGCATCTATCTCAAATTTTGATTTGTAATCTCGTTCAATTCATGTGTTCTTGGCAATCGATAAAGCTATGATATATAATTTTCTTTTCCAAGATAAATTAAATTTATCCTAACCACGACCCGAATCTATTTCTAGCCCGAATTCGAATGGTTAGAATGCATTAAAGTTTAAATTATTTATATGATGCCACACGTGACAAATGTTATTCCTAATATCTATTGCATATATGTTGGTAGTGCACTCCTGCTATGCTTAGAGGTTCATGCTCGTGGCAGGTCTTTTCATGATACCCGCTCGTGCCAGGTCTTTTTTGGTGCCTTCTCATGGCAAAGTCTTTTGATGATGTCTGCTTGTGACAGGTCTTTTTTGTGCCTACTTCTGACAAGTTTTCTTTGGTGCCTGCTCGTGGCTGGTCTTTTTTGTGCATGCTCATGACAAGTCTTCTTTGAGGTATTCTTTCCAGAAGAAAACATGTGTTGGGGGATCCCCAACTCACTTTATATAAACTTCTTACCTTCTAGAAACAAAATAGGCTCGTAGGCCTTGACAAAATAACTATCTAAGTAAATAAGAAAATGCATGGGCCGTGCAAGCCCGATTAAAGGTAAACTAGCTAAAAAAGCATAGGGCATGCAAGTCCAAGTAAACTAAACTAAACAAGCTAAAAAAGGAAACAACAAAGAAAAGCATCCTAGCTGACCATTAATCTTTACTATGCTTGACCCCAATCTCTATCAGTTCTTCTTCTGGAACAAATTTTTCTTGGTTCTCGAGCTCAGGGTTCGATAGTTGCATAACATCAATGCTCATTCTCCAAATCCAAGTAACATAGCACTGCCTTACTGCTTTCTGATCGCCATGCACGACCCCATACCATCACTTGTTGGAAACTTCATAACAAGATGGAAGGTAGATAAAATGGCCCTAATTTTATTGAGCAGTGATCTCTCGATGATGGAGTTGTAGGCCATCGGAGCGTGAACTACATGGAAGGGAGTGATTTCTGTCACCTGCTTTTGTCCTGAGCCCAATGTTAGGAGAAGATCAATGATTCCTTCCGGGATGATTATTCCAACCCAAATCCCTCTGCCTTGAGTTGGTTAACAGTAATACCCATCTTCATGAAGGCCTCATGGGACAACACATTGGCCGCACTCCTATTGTTAACCAAGACCCTCCTTACTTCAATGTTGGTGATGATGGCATATATGACCAAGGCATCGTCATGTGGGTATGATATGTCTTCTGAGTCCTTTGATCCAAATGTGTTATCTTCCACGTCGTTGAGAGTTGTCATTGGTGTGGAACTATGTCGTCAGGCACATTGCTTGCGTCCACTATTTGAATCTCCTCCCAAGGCAATCCTCCTTATTATAATGTTGATGGTACCTGCTATTGGTTGGTTACCTCCTAAGGATTTTGGAATCTTCCCATTGTTACGGTCATTCTTGGGACGCTTGTCATCCCCGATAAATTCCTTTAGGAATCCTCTTTTTATCAAAGATTCAATCTCACGGTGCAATGTTATGCAATCCTCTATTGTATGCTCATGGTCACGATACTTGTTCTTGTCCCTGGCCTCAGGGGAGACCACAACCTTGGTGGCCACTTGAACTCCTTCATATCTTTGATTTTAATCAGTATATTCGACCCATAGGTGTTTAGATGTGTAAATGTCGATGGTGCGCTCTGCTTCTGCTTTCCTTCGACAAGGTCTTGTTGTAGATTCGGCTCACGCTACCTCTTATGCTCAGCCCCATCATAAGTCGGACCAACTCTCCTTAGATTCAGTGTCTCTTTCCATATTAATGTATTTATCTTCTCGGGTCAGAAGCTCGGTCATTGACTTTGGGGGAGTTTTTGACAAACTCATCTTGAATGCCTCACATCTTATAGCATGTGTGAGGGTGGAGATTGCTGCTGTGATATGGAGATCGGGGATTTGAAGTCTTTCTTTATTAAACCTCTTCATGAAGTTACGTAGGGTTTCATTCTGCCCTTGACGAAGTTGCATGAGCGAAACCGTTGTCTTTCTGATGCATTTACTATTGGCAAAGAGGGTAGAGAACTTGTCGGCTAGATGTGAGAAAGAGGCTATTAAGGTTGTTTTGGCCATGAGGAAAGTTTTGCATCAAAATAAAAGGATAGGAGGTATTCTAGAATACATACAAAGGTCAGTTTTAAGATATAAGGCTTTTCTATTAGAACGTTTTGTTCAAAAGGATTCCCTACACAAATATCCTGTTGTTTCCTAGATAATTGGGTTTAAATATCCATGGATTCGTTATTTGCTCACTGTCTTGTATTGTGCCAAGATTTATGCTACAGAAAAATTTGACAGAATTCTTATAGAAGAACACTTGACAGATTTTTATTGGCTTTAGGCACAACAAACACGGAAAATGCACGCGCTATATCTTTTTCTTGTGCTAATTAGCCTTTGATCTTGGTTCTTAGTCAAATAGATATCGTCCAGTCAAGTAGGCTGTCAATCAGCCTAAGAGCAATTCAACCACTAGATATTTTCAAATTTTCCATAAATGTGGGCTCTAAAAGCACCACAAATTATTCTGCTTTGTGAATCATATCAGCTACACATATCAAATAACTCAAAGAAAAGAGCTCTGAGATACCAACCAACGAGTAGGGGAAAAGAAATTGCTCAGAAAGGTTTATAAATGGGTTCATCTGACTGCCTGGGACTTCTCTCTCTGGATGAATGCAAAATTTCTTGTGACGCAGATTATGAGGTATGGGAAGAAAAGAAACTTGATTCAACGATGCCGTGGATTGGCATGTATATTGCAGCAGCTTCTGTAGTCTGCTCACTTGCAATGGCAGCTGATGCCTTCTGTGGATTCAGAAACAAAAGGCTCTGGTTCCCGTGTAAGTACTTCTCTCTGAATGCAACTTCGTTGACCCTATTAGCTGTCACATTGAAGTTGCCAGTGGATATTACTGCTACTGCTTTGGGCACTTACGATAAGATAGCTTGGATCAGTAGCCCCATATTGATGTCAACATCTATGGGAAATTTCATGACAGCTTTGGGATCCATCAATGGTAATGAGATCTTACTTAACATGACTGCTTTAGGCATCCTGATAATTACAGTTATTGTCAATATTTGTATCCGTATTATCCAAATGCGTGATTTTGATGTTATCGAGATATTGGGAGAAGCAATTGCAGCAACTATTTTTATGTTTCTTTCACTTGTTATCTTCGTATCTTTGTCTTTAACGGTTCCAACCACCAGAATATATCTAGAATCAAAGTACAATGAAATGCACAAAATAGTTTTGGATAAAGAAAAAGTGAGTGGAGGAAATTTACGGTCGATAATCTGAGACTAGTAGTGAAGAAGTATTGGGTGATGGCAGTAACTGGTAATCCCCAGTTTGTGATGGCACGTTGTGTTTTTAGCGCTACTTCAGGTGTGATGTGTCTGTTGATTGCTCTCACTTTGGCAGGAGCTCATATAAGGATGCCAATAGTGTACAAAGGATTTAGAAGGATTGATTCTGTCTATGATTGGTCCATCGATTGGATTATTGTAACACAGTCTATTGGAGTGGCAGTGGGTACTATTGCCCCTGCACTCAGATGGTTCACTGCTGCCAGCTTCAAGAGTTCAGAATTAGGGAGCAAAAGCTTCAAAGACGAATTCAAAATCGAGACTTATTGGATTCAGAGGCTTGTCGACTGGAGAGAAAGATCGTTGCCTATACACGTTCCACACCACAAGTGCAGAAAACTTTTTCAAGATGCAAAATGGCTAATTCTCAATTTCTGTATTGGTGTTCAGATTCTAATTGTTTTGGTGAGCAAACTTTTTCTTCTTATTTCTGCTTCATTCCTCCACCACATCAATAGGTTGAAGATATTCATTAATGATGCTGTTAAAATCAAGAGAAGATCAGAATCTGGCGAGGGCACCCAGCCGGATCTTACTCAGTACGTTCTGCTTCTTGAAGGAGAGGCAAAAGTCCCTAAAAAGATCTTGAAGAACATTTGCAATGAAGTGGACAAGCTGATGCAGAAATCTATAAGAAAGCATCCAAAGAACCTAATTGAACTTCTAAATAAATCTACCAACTTCAATGGGGTTAGAGAATTTGACAGTGATGAAATTCCAAGATTAAATTCCATGGCCGAGCCTCCTAATTGCTGGTCTCTAACTGTTGTGACTCTTACAAGCATTGCAATTTCACTTCCTAACATCCCAAATGACCGTGCTAATCAGTTAGTTAGGTGCGTCGGTGAAGGCTTATTGTTGCTAAAACTTATAGAGAAAAGCCTGGATAGAAATGGAGCTTTGGTAAACATCAGAAATGCAGCCAATGTTGTATGGGTCAAAGTTGAATTATATCGCAAGTGGCTAGATAAGGATCTCCATAAATCAAGTCTCCAAGGCAGAACCTCCGAGGAAACACTTGAAGAGCTCTCCAATGAATCTAAAAGGACTGTAATGGAGTTCCACAGAGACGTGAATGATTTCCTCATGGAAAATCCTCTAAATTGGCCAGTTAAGATCATAGCTGCTAATTCAATGTACCGAACCAGTCAAACTATTTTGATGTCCCTTGGCAATTACCGAACAAATGATCCGGGACTGTTTGACCATTTATCCCTCATGATTGCAGATATACTGGCAGCTTCCCTTACCAATTTACCACATGTTATAACTACAAAATGCCACAATAATTCTTTGAAGGAAGGGGAAAAGAGTATTCGTCAAGGAAACTGAAGAAATTCTTGAAATTCTTCAGCAGCGTGAGATGCCAAACTTGGATCCCAATAAAGCAGCTTATATTGAAGAGTGGCGCAATTTAATGCATCAAGATAGAGAAAATCTACTGGCCTAGTTCAAGCATTGTAAATGCAACTCAACAATCCATTGGAGAACATGTGGCTATTGAACTGCAGGGCTGAGTGCGAGAACACAAGCAAGTAGGAAAAATAGTTACTTCATTGCTGCAATACTTAGGTCATGTCCAAATGCACGATTTCTCCCCTCCTTCCCTTCTATGATTAGCAATGTTTATGCAATTATCTCGTTATATTGTTGTGATATTATACTTGCAATGTTCCTAAATCTATGAATTATCATCCGTTTGGGATTTTCTTCGAGGAATGAGTTTTTCACTTTTTCTCAATACATTTGACTGATGATATGAATTTTCTCTTGTTAGAATAAGCTTGGGATAGTGCGATATATAACCTAAGAGACTCTAATTGTGATGTCTTGGAACTTATTTTCCAAGTGTTAATTATTTAACTTAGGGTCTGCTTGGGATTTTCAATTGCTAGTTATGGATGATTTTTAAAAAAATGGTTTTTGATCGTTTAAGAGATGATCGATTTTGAGTGATTTTTGTAGCAGTTTTTAGAATAGTTTAATCAATTTTTAAGAGTTTATTATCCATCGATTCTAAAAGTTTTTTTTTAATAAAATTACATATATGCCCCTTATTGAAATTTTCAACTTATAATTTTTTGTTTGAATTTTTTTATTCATAAGTGATATTTTACTTATAATTAGTATATTTTTAGTTTTTTCTGTCTATAAGTAAATTTCACAATTATAAGTTAATTTTGTACTTTAAAATAATTTCTATAAATAAGTGAACTTTTTACTTGTAAATAACATTTTTATGTTATGTAAGTAATTGTTTGTCTCACTAGTGGTAATAGTATATACTTTATGAACAAATTTTGTTACAAACAAGAATTTTATTTTATAAGTAATATTTTACTTGAAAATAAACTTTATAAAAGATAAAATTAGAAGATAATTTAATAAATGGTCAAAATCTACCGATTTGATAGGTTGTCAGGAAAGATTAAAATTACACACCCAAATTCGATACCCAAAAAAACTAACAAGCACTAGTTTTCTCAATTTCTAATAAATTGTCCCAGTGCCACAATTAAAGGCACATACAAAAAATAAAATTTTGACTTTTCAGGGGACTAGGATGTTTTACTTATAAAGGCACTGTGTAGAACACGTAAACCTGCCTTAAGCGATATCGTTTACTACAGCAAGCACGTGACTCATCATCAGGAACAGAAATAATTTTTGCCTCAGTTCGCGCAGTTAAGTGAATTGATGAATCACTAATTATGTTAATTTTCTACACTTCCATTGCTTGTATGAGTAAAATATTTATAGTTGTTGTGGGCACGTTTAATCTTAATTTACGAGGAAAGACTCTTCCAAGTTTTGCATCCCTTGTGAAAAACTCTCTATCAGGCCTTCGATTTTCCCACTTTTTATTATGCTCGTTGAAGTTAAAACTAAATGATAGTATGTTGTGAATTACGTTGGAACTGTTTTTTGTGGAACTTTTTTGGAAACTAATACTTTATAATCTCTTTAATTCTGCTAATATTTTTAATTAATTTATGTATTTTTAAAAAATATATTATTCAAATATATTTGGTAAACTAAGGTGTTTATTGTTTATCATATTCTTCAGATAATCTTAGTTATAATTAATGAAATTTCATGGTTTTACTTAAAGTATTGAATTCTTAAAAAAATAGAAAATTTAAACGGGATGGGGCCCGGCCCCCGTTACCCATTCCCGCCCCAGGGCAAAATTCCCCACCCCAATTACTCGATTAAGCGAGTAATCCCACTTTGTTCGGGGTGAGGTCCCTCGAGTATCGGTTATGACGGATTTTTTTGCATCCTAAAATTGGGTCTGCTTACAAGCAATTTGTGGCTTTGCTTAGAATAAAAAAATGATGGTTTCAAGAAATGCAGAGGTTACCGTTTTGAAGGGTGATATTGGGTCTGCTTCACTAGGTTTTAGCAAGATTGCACATTTTTAAAGTTTTATCAGTATAAAAGCCATATGTGGCGGTTAAATTATCTTAATTGGGGTTCTGCTACTTTTTTTGAAAATTTTGGGCCTAGATAATTATTTTTCTTCTTTTCTTTTTCTTTTATTTAAAGAGGAGAGGATAATTCATCATTTCACAAGGTTTTATTTAAAAAATGGAAGAAAATATTATATTTCACAAAGAAAATGTAATATTCCGCAAAATTTGGCCATCAAGGAAGTTTTGCATCAAAATAAAAGGATAGGAGGTATTCTAGAATACATACAAATGTTAGCTTTAAGATATAAGGCTTTCCTATTAGAACGGTTTGTTCAAAAGGATTCCCTACCTTTCATCAAATATTCTATTTTTCCTAGATGATTGGGTTCAAATATTCATGGATTCGCTATTTGCTTACTAGCTTATTGTTGAAAAATATGGAGCCTAAATGTTAGGCTTCACAATTTCAATGGTGGCAGACACATTTCCTCAAAAGCATGGCAGCAAATGTTGAAAAAGAATGTGAATGGGAAAGTTGAAAACCATTTTTTGGAAGAAATTTCTTGCCATGCATTTATGGGAGCCAATTTTGTTGAAAATAGATGGATATGCATTTAATGAGGAAGGTGAAATTTTTCCTATAAATTGGAGCCAAAGTAGGAGGAAAGTATTGTGCCAAAACGTGAGCAAAAGAGAAGTGCAAGAAAATCGTGTAGAGTGAAAACACGAGAGATAGTGAGCAAGCACAAAGTCAGAAGCAGTTAGGCTTTCGTTTGTGCAGGAAATTAACGAGAGAAAATTGAGAGATTATCTTTGCATAGGCAAATAAAATATAGAGAGTGTATTTGTTGTATTCCTTTTATTCTCTTGTTGATACAGTAAAAGAATTGGTGTGGGTTTGTGGACGTAGGCACGATTGCCGAACCACGTAAATTCTTGTGTCACTTGCACTTATTATTTTTTTGCTACATTTATTTCTTCTCAGTTCAAATTATTTTGCGTCCCACTGATCCTGGTGGAATTAGTAGAGGTCTAATTTCCTAACAACTGGTATCAGAGCTCCAGAATTTAAGTGGGAGGAATGGCAACAGACGAGAAGATATCCAAAATGGATAAGTTTGATGGTACAAACTTTGGATTTTGGAAGATGCAAATGGAGGACTATTTGTACCAAAAGGACCTGTATAAACCACTTCACGTAAAGCCGGAGGACATGACCGACGACGAGTGGGAATTACTTGATCGAAAGGCTCTTGGCGCAATAAGACTGACATTATCAAAGTCAGTCGCTTTCAACATAAAAAATGAGAAGACGACGGCATCTCTCATGGCGGCCCTGTCTAGCATGTATGAACAACCATCTGCAGCAAACAAAGTCCATTTAATCAAAAAACTATTTACTATGAAAATGGTGGAAGGCGAAAGATTTGGAGAACATCTAAATGTGGTCAATGAAGTGACGGACCAGTTAAATACAGTCGAAATCACGTTCAGTGATGAGGTTCGAGCTTTGTTGATTCTCGGGTAGCTACCTGAGAGTTGGAATGGCAAAGTTACAGCAATTAGTAGCTTTGCCGGAAAGTCCAAATTGAAATTTGAAGATGTCGTGAGTATGATCCTGACTGAGGAAATACGAAGACAGTCAGAAGGCGTTTCCACTTCTGGAGCTGCTTTGAACGTGGAGAGCAGAGGAAGAAGTTCAAACAGAAGTAAAGGGCATTACAGGAGCAAGTCAAGATTTGGTCGATCAAAATCCAGAAATCCAAAGAATTTCAACAAATCAAAAGTTGTTGAATGTTGGAATTGTGGCAAGACCGGACACTACAAAAATCAGTGTCAAGTTTCCAAGAAAGAAAATGAAAACAAGATCGAGGCCAATGTTGTAGCAGAGGAATCAGATGATGCTTTGATATGCTCTTTGGAAAGCAAAACAGAATACTGGGTAATAGATTCTGGAGCATCTTTTCACGCTACATCAAACAAAGAACTCTTTACGAGTTATGAGCCGGGCAATCTTGGAAAAGTATATCTTGGTGATGATCAACCTTGTGACGTAGTCGGCAAAGGCGAAGTACAGATCAAGCTAAATGGATCTGTATGGAAATTGAAGGATGTTAGGCACATTCCAGACTTGAGGAAGAACCTGATATCTGTGGGACAACTATCAAATGAGGGTTATGTCACAACCTTCAATGGTGATATTTGGAAGGTTTCCAGTGGTGCAATGACCATAGCACGCGGCAAGAAAAGTGGTACTCTTTACATCACAACGAGTGCTTGCGAAATAATTGCAGTTGCTGATTCAAATGAAGATCCGAATCTATGGCACCAGAGACTGGGGCATATGAGTCAGAAAAGACTCAAGTACATGCATGACAAAGGGAAACTACCAGGACTTCAATCTATTGATGCAGACCTATGTGAGAGTTGCATCTTCGGGAAGCAGAAGCGGGTGAGTTTCAACAAGTGTGGCAGAACTCCGAAGCAGGAAAAGCTAGAGTTAGTCCACACGGATGTCTGGGGGCCAGCTGCAGTTCCATCTATTGGCGGAAAGTCTTATTTTGTGACTTTCATCGATGATCACTCCAGAAAAGTATGGGTCTACTTCTTGAGACACAAATCCGAAGTGTTTGAGATGTTCAAGAAGTGGAAAGCTATGGTGGAGAATGAGACAAGTTTGCAAGTAAAGAAATTGAGATCAGATAATGGCGGAGAGTACGAACATGCTGATTTCAAAAAGTTTTGTTACCAAAGTGGTATCAAACTGGAAAGGACATTACCAGGAACACCGCAACAAAATGGTGTGGCCGAACGAATAAGCCAGACGTTGACAGAGAGAGCCAGAAGCATGTGGTTACACGCTGGCTTGCCTAAACAATTTTGGGCTGAAGCTATCAACACAGCAGCATACTTAATCAATCGCGGGCCATCAGTGCCTTTGGAGTACAGGATACCAAAGGAAGTATGGAGCGGAAAAGAAATAAAACTTTCTCATTTGAAAGTTTTTGGTTGTGTCCCATATGTACATATTAGTGATCAAGCTAGGGGTAAACTTGACCCCAAATCACTAAAGTGTACATTCATTGGATATGGTGGAGATGAGTTCGGGTATCGCTTTTGAGATGATAAGAACAAAAAGGTCATCAAAAGTCGGGATGTCATATTCAATGAAAGGGTGATGTACAAGGATAGAGATACAGCACAGTCCAGTGACATACATGATAATCCAACATTTGTTGAGTTGGATGATACTCCAAGTAGTAGTATGTCAAAGCAGACAGATGAAAGTCCTTAGCCAGAGGAAGCTGTTGCGGAGACTTTACCTCCAACTCCTATTCCTAGAAGATCTTCCCGACCACATGTTCCAAACAGAAAGTACATAAATTATTTGTTACTTACTGATGCCGGTGAACCTGAATGCTATGATGAGGCATGTCAGGGAGATGATGCAATTAAGTGGGAGCTTGCAATGAAAGATGAGATAAAGTCTCTTATTTCTAATCAAACGTGGGAACTAGTTGAGTTGCCTGCACAAAAGAAAGCCTACACAATAAATGGGTCTATCGAGTCAAGGAGGAACATGACGGATCAAAGAGATACAAGACGAGATTGGTGGTCAAAGGCTTTCAACAGAAAGAAGGAATTGACTACACAGAGATTTATTCTCCAGTAGTAAAGCTGACAACAATTCGATCAGTCTTAAGTATTGTTGCAGCAAAGGGGTTGCACTTAGAGCAGTTAGATGTGAAAACTGCCTTTCTCTATGGTGACCTAGAGGAAGAGATATATATGCAGCAACCAGAGGGTTTCTCAATCAAAGGAAAAGAGAAGCTTGTGTGCAAATTGAAGAAAAGCTTGTATGGCTTAAAACAAGCTCCGAGACAGTGGTACAAGAAGTTTGACGGATTTATGCAGAAAAATGGCTACTACAAGTGCAATGCTGACTATTGTTGCTATTTTAAGAGGCTGGAGTCCAGCTACATTATTTTGCTACTTTATGTTGACGACATGTTAGTAGCGGGACCAGACATGAACGAAATCCAGAAATTAAAGAAGCAACTGTGAGCAGAATTCGAAATGAAGGACTTGGGTCCAGCTAAACAAATTCTAGGGATGAGAATTTGTAGGGACAAGCAAAAAGGCATTTTGCAGTTATCCCAGGCCAAGTACATTAGTCAAGTTTTGCAGAGGTTCAACATGAACAATGCAAAGGCAGTTAGCACACCATTGGCTAACCACTTCCGTCTATCAAACGACCAGTCTCCAAAAACAGAAGAAGGAAGAAACTTCATGGCTAATATTACATACGCCTCAGCCATTAGAAGTTTAATGTATGCCATGGTCTGTACAAGACCAGACATTGCTCATGCAGTGGGAATTGTGAGCAGATTCATGACAAATCCAGGAAAACAGCATTGGGAAGCAGTGAAGTGGATATTGAGATATCTACAGGGTACTGTTGATAAATGTTTGTCTTTCAAAAGAGGTGAGTTGGCACTACAAGGCTTTGTAGATGCAGATTTTGTTGGCGAGGTTGATCACAGGAAAAGCACCACCGGTTATGTATTCACAGTTGGTACTACTGCAGTGAGTTGGGTTTCACAAAAACAGAAGATTGTTGCTTTATCCACTACAGAAGCAGAGTACGTGGCGGTAACCGAAGCTAGCAAAGAGATGATTTGGTTACAAGGTCTGTTGACAGAATTGGGTCTCAAGCAGGAAAAGAATATTTTACATAGTGATAGTCAGAGTGCTATACATCTGGCAAAGAATGCAGCATTTCATTCGAGAACGAAGCACATAGGACTTCGTTATCACTTCATCAGATCTCTCTTGGAGGATGGAGTATTAACACTGGAAAAGATCCAGGGCAGTAGAAACCCAGCTGACATGTTAACCAAGGCGGTAACTATGGAAAAACTGGAGTTGTGTTCAACTTCAGTTGGCCTTCTAAAATGAAGATGAGGAAGGAGATCCACACCAATTTTACTAAAAAGAAATTGCTCGCAGGATGCCTCAAGGTGAAGCCACATTAGTCTCCAAGTGGGAGATTGTTGAAAAATATGGAGCCTAAATGTTAGGCTTCACAATTTCAATGGTGGCAGACACATTTCCTCAAAAGCATGGCATCAAATGTTGAAAAGGAATGTGAATGGAAAAGTTGAAAACCATTTCTTGGAAGAAATTTCTTGCCATGCATTTATGGGAGCCAGTTTTGTTGAAAATAGATGGATATGCATTTAATGAGGAAGGTGAAATTTTTCCTATAAATTGGAGCCAAAGTAGGAGGAAAGTATTGTGCCAAAACGTGAGCAAAAGAGAAGTGCAAGAAAATCGTGTAGAGTGAAAACACGAGAGATAGTGAGCAAGCACAAAGTCAGAAGCAGTTAGGCTTTCGTTTGTGCAGGAAATTAACGAGAGAAAATTGAGAGATTGTCTTTGCATAGGCAAATAAAATACAGAGAGTGTATTTGTTGTATTCCTTTTATTCTCTTGTTGATACAGTAAAAGAATTGGTGTGGGTTTGTGGACGTAGGCACGATTGTCGAACCACGTAAATTCTTGTGTCACTTGCACTTATTATTTTTTTTGCTACATTTATTTCTTCTCAGTTCAAATTATTTTGCGTCTCACTGATCCTGGCGAAATTAATAGCGGTCTAATTTCCTAACACTTATATTGTGCCAAGAGTTATGCTACAAATATAAAAAAATTTGATAGAATTCTTATAGAAGAGCACTTGACAGATCTTTATTGGCTTTAGGCACAATAAACACGGAAAATGCACGCAGCTATATCATTTTCTTGTGCCAATTACCCCTTGATCTGGGTTCTTAGTCAAGTAGACTTCGTCCAGTCAACAAGGCTGTCAATCAGCCTAAAAGCAACTCAACCAGTAGAATTTTCCAAATCCTCCATAAACCCGGGATGTAAAAGCAACTCAAATTATTCTGCTTTGTGAATCATATCAGCTACACATATCCAATAACTCAAAGAAAAGAGCTCTGAGATACCAACCAACAAGTAGAGGGAAAAGAAATTGCTCAGAAAGGTTTATAAATGGGTTCATCTGATTACCCTTTCTCTCTGGATGGATGCAGAGATTATTGCGACTTTGCTCATGGGGCATGGGAACAAAAGAAACTTGATTCAACGATGCCATGGATTGGCATGTATGTTGCAGCAGCTTCTGTAGTCTGCTCGCTTGCAATGGCTGCTGATGCCTTCTGTGGGTTCAGAAACAAAAGGCTCTGGTTCCCATGTAAGTACTTCTCTCTGAATGCAACTTCGTTGACCCTATTAGCTGTCACATTGAAGTTGCCCGTGGATATTACTGCTACTTTTTTGGGCACTTACGATAAGATAGCTTGGATTAGTAGCCCCATATTGATTTCAACTTCTATGGGAAATTTCATGACAGCTTTGGGATCCATGAACGGTAATGAGATCTTACTTAACATGACTGCTTTAGGCATCCTGATAATTACAGTTATTATCAATATTTGTATCCGTATGATCGAAATGCAGAATCTTGATGGTATGGACATATTGGAAGAAGCAACTGCAGCCACTATTTTTATGTTTCTTTCACTTGTTATCTTCGTGTCTCTGTCTTTAACGGTTCCAACCACCAGAATATATCTAGAATCAAAGTACAATGAAATGCACAAAATAGTTTTGGATAAAGAAAAAGTGGAGTGGAGGAAATTTACAGTCGATAATCTGAGACTAGTAGTGAAGAAGTATTGGGTGATGGCAGTAACTGGTAACCCCCAGTTTGTGATGGCACGTTGTGTTTTCAGCGCTACCTCAGGTGTGATGTCTCTGTTGATTGCTCTCACTTTGTTCGGAGCTCATATAAGGACGCCAATAATGTACAAAGGATTTAGAAGGATTGATTCTGTCTATAAGTGGTCCATCGATTGGATTATTGTAACACAGGCTATTGGAGTGGCAGTGGGTATTATTGCCCCTACATTCAGATGGTTCACTGCTGCCAGCTTCAAGAGTTCAGAATTGGGGAGCAAAAGCTTCAAAGATGAATTCAAAATCGAGACTTATTGGATCCAGGGGCTTGTCGACTGGAGAGGAAGATCGTTGCCTATACACGTTCCGCACCACAAGTGCAGAAAACTTTTTCAAGATGCAAAATGGCTAATTCTCAGTTTCTGTATTGGTGTTCAGATTCTAATTGTTTTGGTGAGCAAACTTTTTCTTCTTATTTCTGCCTCATGCCTACACCACATCAATAGGTTGAAGATATTCATTAATGATGCTGTTAAAATCAAGAGAAGATCAGAATCTGGCGAGGGCACCCAGCCGGATCTTACTCAGTACGTTCTGCTACTTGAAGGAGAGGCAAAAGTCCCTAAAAAGATCTTGAAGAACATTTGCAATGAGGTGGACAAGCTGATGCAGAAATCTATAAGAAAGCATCCAAAGAACGTAATTGAACGTCTAAATAAATCTACCAACTTCAATGGGGTTAGAGAATTTGACAGTAATGAAATTCCAAGATTAAATTCCACGGCCGAGCCTCCTAATTGCTGGTCTCTACCTGTTGTGACTCTTACAAGCATTGCAATTTCACTTCCTAACATCCCAAATGACCGTGCTAATCAGTTAGTGAGGTGCGTTGGTGAAGGCTTATTGTTGCTAAAACTTATAGAGAAAAGCCTGGATAGAAATGGAGCTTTGGTAAACATCAGAAATGCAGCCAATTTTGTATGGGTCGAAGTTGAATTATATCGCAGGTGGCTAGATAAGGATCTCCATAAATCAAGTCTCCAAGGCAGAACCTCCGAGGAAACACTTGAAGAGCTCTCCAATGAATCTAAAAGGACTGTAATGGAGTTCCACAGAGACGTGAATGATTTTCTCATGGAAAATCCTCTAAATTGGCCAGTTAAGATCATAGCTGCTAATTCAATGTACCGGATCAGTCAAACTATTTTGCTGTCCCTTGGCAATTACCAAACAAATGATCCGGGACTGTTTGACCATTTATCCCTCATGATTGCAGATATACCGGCAGCTTCCCTTTCCAATTTACCACATGTTATAACTACAAAATGCCACAATAATTCTTTGAAGGAAAGGGAAAATAGTATTCGTCAAGCTGCTGTCCTTCTTGGTGAAACTGAAGAAATTCTTGAAATTCTTCAGCAGCGTGAGATGCCAAACTTGGATCCCGATAAAGTTGCTTATATTGAAGAGTGGCGCAATTTAATGCATCAAGATAGAGAAAATCTACTGGCCTAGTTCAAGCATTGTAAATGCAACTCAACAATCCAATGGAGAACATGTGGCTATTGAACTGCAGGGCTGAGTGCGAGAACACAAGCAAGTAGGAAAAATAGTTACTTCATTGCTGCAATGCTTAGGTTATGTCCTTCCCTTCCATGATTAGCAATGTTTATGCAATTATCTCATTTTATTATTGTGATGTTATACTTGCAATGTTCCTAAATTTATGAATTATCATCCGTTTGGGATTTTCTTCGAGGAATGAGTTTTTCACTTTTTCTCAGTACATTTGACCGATGATATGAATTTTCCCTTCTTGTTAGAATAAGCTTGGATATCGCACTATATAACCTAAGAGACTCTAATTGTGATGTCTTGGAACTTATTTTTCAAGTGTTAACTATTTAACTAAGGATCTGCTTGAGATTTTCGATTACTAGTTATGGACGGTTTAAAAAAATTGGTTTTTGATCGTTTAAGAGATAATCGATTTTAAGTGATTTTTGTAGTAATTTTTAGAACAGTTTAATCCATTCTTAAGAGTTTGTTATCCACCGATTCTAAATTTTTTAAAATAAAATTACATATATGCCCCTTATTGAAATTTTCAATTTATAATTTTTTGTATGAATTTTTTTACTCGTAAGTGACATTCTACTTCTAATTTTTACATATAAGTTTATATTTGACAAAAAAAATTATATATTTACTTATAGTTAGTATATTTTTAGTTTTTTCTATCTATAAGTAAATTTCACGGTTATAAGTTAATTTTGTATTTTAAAATAATTTCTATAAATAAGTGAACCTTTTACTTGTAAATAACATTTTTATCTAACTACAATAAAACGAGGGAATGGAATGACACAGTTCACAAGCCACAATCAGAAGCCGGAAGACTTTGGCTAGCTCATAAGCCAGTTTTTAGCCTAAAGCATGAAGGGAATTTTTGAGCGGCTCAGTACTACCATCCTTTCTTTTGGTTTCTATAGTAGGGAGAAAGAAAATCGAGGGTTTCCTTCCCCAGCCGTCGGTGTCTCTCTGCCCCATCCGCAAAATTCGATTTTTCCACCGGCCGGCGCGTCACCGGCACATGTACATGGCCCCATAAGAACTTATTTCTCCACTCTCTGCTGGTTATTTGTAAATATATTCTTCAAATGTGTGTTTTGACGCCGAGTAGGATAGTGATTATCCTATTGACTTGTTGTAGCAAATGATTCGCAAGAAAAGAACGACAGAAAATGCTCAAAAAAATCAGAGAAAATACTCTGAATTCAACTCAATTTTATTAATAATGCAACATGATGAAAACTAACCCACAAGCCGGGTTAAATAGCTGCGAAATACGAAATTATGGGAAAATTACCAAAAATGGCAAAATCCCAAAATTATACCAAAATAAAATATTAAGTAAAAGAAGTAAGTTGTCAAAAATTTGACTCAATTCGAGTTTTCTAGCATATGGAAAAAAGGAAACGAAATATTACTATAAATAGTAAAAAAAACTTAAAATTGAATTTTGGAAAGGAAAACAGTGGATTTTGGGCTCGAAATTGATGTCTACTGAACATAGCTGGGTGGCCACGACGTGCGCGCCGAAAAGAGTTTTCTGAATTGGGGTCATAATAGTGATTCCGATAACCGTAGCCAAAGTTATGACCAAATTACCAAAGACGCGTCAAATTCCCTCAATTAAGGAAATAATGGTGATTTACTTTCCGTCTTTATGATCCGCCATCTTATGATATCTCAGCGCCATCATCGTGCTATCTGACAAATCAGCATCACTCGACTCGGATCCTCTTGCATCACGTTTTTTCACGGTGAATATATAACAAAGAACTTACAATGCAATCTTGGAAGATCTTAGCGCCCTTAGCGACGGCTTGAAGGAGAACTGAGTCACCATAGTTCTTGACGGTGCGTGTCAGGTTGTTCTCATTTCCCACCTCCACTGCCTTATTCACGGCTCAAGCAGCCACAACATTTCTTTGCTTCGTAAATTATTACTACTAATAATTCTTCCTTCTGATTTTGAAACACAGTCAAATAAAAATCTACTTTGTACATATAATAGGGTGTTTCCGGAAAGAATTTTGCATTCAATTGCTGGGACCAATTTCTTGGGATTTTTCAATGGCTTCTGAAAAGATTTAGTGAAAGTACGATTTCATTGTAGTTGGCAATTGCTATTCTTAAAGGGGAACTTGAACTGCTGTTTTCACTTTGAAAAAGAAGTACTTTTTGTGTTTTGAAATACAATAATACTGCCATTAGACACGGTTAGTGCAAAATTTGTTCTTGGGAGTGTCGATTGATATGCAAAAGACAATATACTGTTTGGGAGAACCTGAAAATATACTTAACACTGATGATGCTTATAGGAATATGATGTCCTTCATATTTTTCTGTCTTGATTATGTGCCAAAAGTGCTGCTTTTATATATTGTTGTTAATGGGAATGATTTTTCCCACAAATTGTACTGAATTTGAAGCTTAGCCAGAAAAGAAAACGTGTTCCCAAAATTTGTGCTCAATTCTTCATAGATTTTTAGAACTATTTCAAATCTGGAAAGAATGAGGAAAAAGCGAAGCCTTTGGTGAATATTAGAAAGAGAAATGAAAAAGGATGCTTATCTTTTTTAGAAGATGAAAAGTTCCCATATGAAAACCTACTGCGTTCCAAGCGGCTCTCTTATTTCGACTTAATTCAAAGTGGCTTAGCCGACCACAACATACTCCCTGGCAACTCTATTAATCCGGCTCAATTCAAAGTGGCTTAGACCACAAATTTTGGAGAATTTGCATTTTCATTTCTCTCTCTCTCTCAAAAATAGAATAATATTAGAGGAGCATGTTTACTTAGAAAGTGTTTTTAACAAATGAAGAAAGTGGGAATTTTCTTTATACACGTCAGATAAATTTTGTGTATAGAAATTAATCAACTTCAAGTATGTGTGATTGTATAATTATGGATGGTGGATCTCATTATCTATTTTATTTGACCAAAATATATATGTACAAACCTATTTTCCAGTAAATGAAGGCGTGTGTAAAAGCTATTAATTCAAAAAAATACTTTGGATGCTATTGTTTTTATTCATGAATTATGAGGTGAAACTTTGTGTTCCTTCGAGATTTCTTTCTTTCTTTCTTGATGTATGTTGATTTTGAGCAACTAAAGTGAGCATCTAAGATATTTTTTTGATGATTATATATAAGTGAATTTGAAGCTTATTCGAATACAACTGAACACTAAACATCTCTTCAACCCACAAAGAACCAGGGAAAGAGAACTTACATCACAAAATGCTTATGTACACTCGTGTCTAATGTAGCAGCTGTGTGGCCAAGCCCTTTGGCTTTTGTATTAGGCAGAGCATCATCATAGATAATTCTGCTTGTTCGATTGTTATCTCTATCCCATTTACAAGATCATAGAATTGTCCCAAAAAAAAAAAAAGGAAAAAATATAAGTGTTAAGTGCGACTTCACTTCATGTCAACTCCTAACAAAGAAAATAAAAAACAAGAAGAAACATAATCACACTTCGTACTTCATGGCATAAAGCTAAATGATAAATTTCAAATAGATGAAATACAATAACAGCTGAAGATAAAAAGTAAAATAATTAATTCATCAATTTGTTTAATCTTATTTTATGGGATTTGTTTTTGATGAAAATTTTATTGGGTTGACCATGCTTTTCTTTCCAATCATGCTATATAGCCACAGTGAGGAAAAATAATTTAATATACCAATTAAATTATTTAACGTGTTTGTTTATTCGTTTCTATGTATGTCAAAATGTCTTTGAACTTTTTCTATGATATTGATCCTTTTTTATTTATATCGAATA